TCCGTCGAGTGCACAATTTATCAATCACTCGCGCTGACGGGGGGGGTATTCGGTTAACGCGAGTGCGACCACTGCTCCCAAGCCCTGTTGTTGCCATTTTATTTTCTGTTAAATAAGGTTAGTTAGACCATGAGTTAGACCCGAGTCTTCCTGACAGTTCACAGTGTGCCGCTGCCCGGTGTAATTCAAATCTACCGCCGCGCTCATCACAGACACACAGCTGCTGCCCAGCCGCAGCACGGACACACAGCTGCTGCCCAGCCGCAGCACCGGCAATGGAACTGCTGGGAGAAAAACTGCCTATCAGAGATGTAACGTTATCTTTGATAATATTTCGTCTCCTCATTTTTCGTCAACGAAAGTAAAGAGAGATTTTGGCATAGTTTTTATTTAGTAAACTACATTTTCGTCTCGTCACTTTTCGTCAACGATATTGCATGATGATTTTGTTGCAGTTATTATTTACTGCCGTCGGTGCCATCTCGTCATCGTCTCGTTTTCGTCATGGAAAAAAAGGTCGTTGACGAAGATATTTCGTCATAGTTTTAGTCAACGAAATTAACACTACTTCAGCAGACAGGTTGTATGTCTCCCTCGTCCTGCTTGCACGACCTGGTGATGACGGTTCCACAAGTTTGACCAGAATATGGTCAAATGGTATGAAGCACATATCCTTTCCACCTTCCACCTCTTTTGGATAGAATCGTGTGTTGGGCCCATGAGAGTGGAAAAACTCCACTTTCACATCTTGATGAGGTGCATCCACAGTGACAGCCTTTGCTAACCACCAGTTCTGGTCATAAATGACCGCCAGACAATCTCCGCAATGAACTACATCAGCAGATAGATCTGTCATAGTCCCGTCAGGACCACTCCTAGTCATTGGCTGTTGCTCAAATTCAAGTGTGGAAATATATTGTTTTAACATATATTTGGTTAAATGTTGTCATGCCATTTTCATTTGGCTTTAGTCATTGGAGATGCATAGCCTACAAGGGATATTGTAGGTGTACTATGTGCTATGTAGGTAGGTAGTAGGTGCACTATGTGCATCCCCCATGACGTAAGCCAAATGAACATGGCATAATAGTGAATTTAGAAAGAGAGAAGGCACACCTCATCCCCTAGGATTGAGCGATAGGCCGATGGCATATATATATATGGTTCATCAATGGTGGTAGTAGCATGCAGTGTATTGTTATTGTGGTAAATAAATATACTTTAGCCTCCCTTGAGTAACATTTTGAGGTTTTTGTCACCACCGTCAGACAGTATGTCACCACCGTCAGACAGACAATCTGACGGTGGTGATGTCTGACGGTGGTGACAAAAACCTACTCTTTTACATGATATGCATGAGTTGTTCACATTAGCCATCTTGTTTCCCCTCTGTTGCTAGCTACCTCAGACCTCGTCTTAAAAAGTATACATTTATGTCATAATCTAATCTAATATGTTCTATACAAAAGAGACGGTGTTGACATGTTATGGTTGTGACAGAAGCAGTCAGATAAAAAATGTACAAGTTTTAGAGAAAATAGCAAATGTACAGGAGCTTGAGTGATCTTGAAGCATGCAGTAAAGCTGAAGGTTTGAAAAGGGGGTCCTAAGGAATGTAGCTGACCTTGTAGTTGCCTGATTTTATTGCTTTTTATAAATATCTGACGGTGGTGACGAATATGTGGGACGCATTTTGAGCAACCACAAAATAATGGTAAATATTGTTCAAAATTCACTGTTTGTAGTTTTTAATACATATTACAATGTACTCTTTCATTTGGTAAGAATATTATTCTATTAAATTATTACTTTTTGTTTTTTTAATCAAGTTGAAATGATTATCTCCTATCCGAGGACAACTGATTTTGTAGGCAATGGGCCAGCATATAATCATTAAATTAATAAAAAATAAAACTAAAACTATGAAAGAACCATACATTTGTGCAGAAGACCCTCTGATTATAACCTTGATTCTTTTTATTCATGAAAATGTTATTCATTTCCAACAGAATTAGCACTTTTCTTAGTGGGACATGTTTTTGGCAAAGTTTCAAGAATCAGTGACCTCTGACTTATGTTCACTGCCAACCTAAAAGTACCTTAAAGAATAGTAATCAATGATGTTTTGAGAAGTTATTTGACTGATTGTTTTTATATCGGCTCAGCCAGGTTATATGGGAGGCCCAGTCTACGTACACTCTAAAAACAAATGCTTGGCTTAACAAAGAGAATCAAGGCAATAGGTTGCATCGATGGTTATTGAGTTAAGACAACTTCTAATGACATTTTGTTAAAGCAACAAAGTTATTTGAGTTAGGGGAAAAGGCGCTTCCTCTACATAGAGGTGTTTTCAATGACCACTTACTTAATAATTGGTAGCATAAACACAAGTTTTGAAGTTGATTACTCCAAAAGTTCCAACTTGTTTTACCGTATGATTTAAATGTAATCTTAAATTGTGTATACTTAATTACCACATGTTGAACATGGACAGATGTTTTTAAGTTGACAGCCATTTGTAAATTAAGTTGCTCCAAATAATATTGTATTCAATAGGGTTTTTCTCTTAGCTTTTTCATGTTTTTGCCTTTAAAGAAATAAATTAATTGATTCCACAACAAAAATATTAGGCAATTCACTCTTTATTTTTGAACTGCAGTTGTTTATTTCAACACATGATATTTCAATCAGGAGAGTTTGAATTTCAAGTTGTATTTGAATGACAAAAGATGACACTCACCTTAAAATGTCCTTTGTATATTTCTATTTGTCTTAACTGTGGGAACTTGTCCAGGCATCTTAAGTGGGAGTGGACTTGAAATCCTTAACTCAAGGTGTAGAACAATTAACTTATCAAGCCAATTGCATTACAATACCTCAACTTGAATTTAGTTTGAAGTCAATTAACGCAGAAATCAGAGTTCAAATGACAAAATTAAGTTGATGTAATTACCAACATTATTACGTCAACACAACTTATAAATTAATGTTGCAACTTAAACTGTTTATCTAAAATCAATTAACTCACATTTTTTATCTTGCAACCAGTGCATTTAATTAAGTGGAGGTGAAAGGTCGCTTGAATTGGGTTTTGAGATGTACAGATCACTCATTTTGATATTAATATCAAACTTAGTTTTCTTTTCTTTAATTTTTCATCCTCGTGTAGAATGCTATCACGAAACACACATTTGGTTGTTTATAGCATAAAGAACATCTGAGTTAATGTGAGGTAGGGACATACTCATTTGAGTATGTGCATATAAATATGTAATTTACAACAGCTGTAAGATGCTTGAAAAGTGCTTGAATTTGATTTTGGAAAAGGTGTAAGAACCCTCTTATGCCTTTGCCTGAAGGTGACGAACGTGACTGTGTGCACACCTAGACCGGACTTAAAAGACGTTCCTCTGACCAACGCTGACCTCATTTTGTATGTTGATGGGTCTGCCTCTCGCGACCAAGGGGGCACTAATCGGGTGGGTTTTTTCCTGTTGTTTCAGATTCTGCTGTACTCCGTTCCGGACCAATCCCATGTCACCTCTCATAACAAGCAGCAGAGCTCATCGCACTAACTGAAGCCTGCACGTTTGCAGAAGGCAAAACCGTGACTATTTACACTGACTCACGCTATGCTTTTGGGGTAGTGCACGATTTTGTGGCTATTTGGAAGTGTAGACAATTTCTGCAAGCAGTACAGACCCAGTTTCCCTAAGAAATTGGGTCTGCTAATTAACTGCTGACTCAGCCGCAAAGGAAGAGTCTGATTCCTCTCACACCTCACGCACCTTACACTCATTTGTTAGAATGCCTGTCTCCTCCTTCACTGACAACATGTCGTCACTTCAGCAGCTAGCTACACCAGTTGAGAAGGCTCGGTGGAAGTCTGTTGGGGCTGTTTTTGACACATGGGTTGGACAATGTGTCAAAAGGGGGGATGTTAGAGGCTATAAATCAGAAGGGGGGTGAAGGGGGGTGAAGGGGGGTAATTTGCATTAAGCAAAATTCATTTGAGCACCTAATGCTGGATTTCATTGAGTTTAGCCCATCAGAGAACATCTTAAATTAGAACAACGGTTCACATGTTGCTAAAGAGGGAACGGCACAATCAAAAACAAACTAGCAAAATGCTATGCAGACACAGGTCTGTCATGGACATAAGCTCTGCCCATTGTGCTGATGTACATGCGGATGTGGGAACGAACACGGAGCCAACTCAGCCATTTTAAATCCTTCTTGGGGCTCCTCCACAGATTGGACTCAAGGCTCCAGGATGTCCTCTTCCCTCCACAACTTTGTGTGAGGATGCTATGTTGTGCTATTGTGTTAACCTATCATCCACTTTAGCAGACATCCGACGTCAGGTGGTCGCAGCATTGCCTACTCCTGCCACTGGTCCACTTCATCATCTCCAGCCCGGCGACTGCTGGTCAAGGATTTCCGGAGAAAGAGCTGGAAATCCAATCGTTGGCAAGGTCCATACCAGGTGCTTCTGGTCACCCAGACAGCGGTAAAGGTCGCCGAGAGAACTACGTGGGTCCACGCCAGTCACTGCAAGGTCGTAGTCACAGGAAAGGGGAAACAGAAGTAGATGACAACAAGTGATGTGTCCTAGTCACCAACAGATGACAACAAGTGATGTGTCCTAGTCACCAACAGATGACAACAAGTGACGTGTCCTAGTCACCAACAGATGTAGATGACAACAAGTGATGTGTCCTAATCACCAACTTGCACCACACTTGCACTACATACACCAAAACACACTACACACAAGGTGTCACGAGCGAGTGCCAGCTGAGCGGTTCCATATGCCCTCTGGTTCCTCGTTTGTGTTACCGGTGTGCGGAGTCTGACTGTCCGTGTCACAAAATCGACCGAGGGAATACACACACACACCCCATGGAGCATTCCCACCTCGTGATGACGGCTCGCCTGGGAAAACGACAACGCAACCGTGAGCAATACTACTGGAGAGCCTGGACAATCAAAAAATGGTTCCTCTGCATACTTGCCATGACAGTTGTGTTAGGACTAGTCCTATATTTTATGTATTCATGGTCAGCACACAGCAGGTCAGCCAAAATCGAGGTATCTAAGAGGTACATGGGGAAAGCAGGGCGAACCACATGGGAAGAGGGGCTGATCAAGACAGGGATTGGTAACATTACTCTAAGGCAGTGTTTCTCAAACTTTTTCATACCAAGGACCACTTAACCAATAAAAAAACACTCGCGGACCACCTAACTCCACAAATATCCAAAAACACATCGTTTTTTACAAATCGCCTGAAAATGGTACAAACAAGTGGCAACATGTGTGATGAAGGTGTTTATCTGGGCTATATCATGCAATCGAAAGTGAAACTTAATCTCGCTCCATTGCAGAGATATTCCCGCGAGAGTGCGGAAAACTTAAATGTATTTATTTATTTCAAATGTGAAATGTTACCAATATACTCACGGACCACTAGGGGGCGCTCACGGACCACCAGTGGTCCGCGGACCACACTTTGAGAAGCACTGCTCTAAGGGATGGGGAAGATAGCACAGTGCAGTTAGACCCGTGCGACTACATGCATTGCTCCGACCCTAAGAAACTGGGGTGGGCGGACGCCTACATATGCTATGTCGAAGGCAGTTTTGGTCAAACCGCCAATCACTGCTCGGGGGGCTGGGCTTTTGTTTTATGGACCACCGCATACACCGATTGGGGTTATACCCTATGGGACGACAAAACAAACATCAAAGGGAGATTGTCTATCTCCAAAGTCAATTCATCGAGCCCCGTTGTCCTGTTGCAACTACAGGCTGCCCAGATATCAGACGGGGGTTATTATGTTGTATTTATGTATGTATCCGGCACCGACCCGTGTGGCACATTTTACATAGACATCGCGCCCAAAACTCAGACCCCCAAAAAGGATAAACCGCCTTTGACACAAACATTGACATCCATAGGTACATCTACACTTCTAAAACGTAACCTATACATAGGCAATAACGACCATAACAACATTGATGTGGTTCAGACCAGTAATGGGAACACCGGTAACGTTTGGTGGCACACTCTGAGATCATTCTTGCAGGCCGCAGGACAAAATGGTTCATGTTATGCATGCACCCTTTTTCCCCAGGACTCATCAATGTCAGTGCCAGTTCGTCCGCGCTCTCTGACCCAGGTTGAACACCTCTGTGCGTTTATGGCTCTGACAAGGCCCATCAAGGGGGAAGACCGCGTAACCAAGTGGCGTTATGCCAGGCAGCTTCCCCCACCATGCAGTAATAAGTCTAACTCCCTTTTGCGTGCATATACGGTTGATACCACATACGCAAAGTACCAACCGGTCAGCCATGTGCACCCCAGCCATTTGAGAGGGATGAAACACAGCATTTGTATCCAGAGAGTATACCACAAAACGTCTCTTACACCACCTTATTTTTCCCTAGGTACTACTACTGGTTGTACTCGTATCCTACAGAATACGTGCAGTTACGGTGTTTACAATAGCTCGTATTGCATATTCAGTGTCCCTGAAAGAATCCTTTCTAACGTAGCATTCCCTGATGTTAACCATACTTCCCTCCAACTGGCCTGGCCCAGTGATGCTGGGTTTAGCGCGCCACAAGATTACATTTGGTTGTGCGGCAACAAGCTCTATCAGATGCTGGCTCCCCTCTGGATAGGTACATGCACTCTAGTGGATTTGAATCCAGCAGTCACGGTCCTCACGTCCTTAATGTACACGACACATCATTACCCAGAGTTCCAACACCCCGACCACCACAAGGTAAAAAGAGAGCTGACGTCCACTGGAGTTAAATTCTTTGGCGGCCTGTTCCCATGGTGGGGTACAGTAAACAATGCCCATAAGATAGATACCTTACACGTTCGACTAGAGAACCTCACTTACGAGACGACGCAAGGCTTCCAGGCATTGCCCCCATTCATAATAGCCTCTAGGAATATGCTCATGCAGCACCAATTTGCTCTTGACCTTTTGTTCGCCTCAAAGGGTGGCCTGTGTCATGTGATCGGTGACTCCTGTTGCACTTACATTCCCGACGCCACCAAGAACATCACTGATACCGTGCTGCATCTTAACAACTTGTTAGCCGACATGAAAGCGGATGACATATCCAACGCAGGCGGCTGGGACTGGTGGGCCTGGCTTACATCGGGGGGGTGGCAAGCATGGCTAGCTAGGATAGTTACACCCCTGATAATCATTTTCGGCCTAGTAATCAGTTGTACCTGTTTGATTATCCCAATACTGAAGAAAGGCTTTTCCAGCCTGGTATCTTTAGCTTTCTACTGCTATTCCATTACAAGACAATCCTTTGCGCCACAGTGAGATAGACCAGCTAGAATCAGAAGAGTCTGATTCCGACACTACAATATAATCAATATAATCATGTGAATCGAGTGTACTCTCCTCTTATGCTTACATTATATTGGAGTCTGTCCTCCACAAAAACAGCCAGTTTTCTATGATATATTTGTGATGTGTTTACTTAAACCAGTGATGGAGTGTATTCATTGATGTGTTATATCAGTCTATCCTGTCATTTGTTGGTTTTTATTGATCAAGTATGATCAAAAGGGGAGAATGTAGTGGACATTTTTATTCTATTCCTTATATGTTTAAACCAAATGCTTCTCATTTGTTTAGATGTGCTGTTTGCCTCTATCTTCTCTACTTCAAGGCCACAGAGCTGTTTTGGCTACTGAGTTGACTCACACAAAGTCACACGAGAACTTCTACAGCTCAAGGCCAGGTGTCTAATAACAATGTGACCGTGTGAAGATTTCTTACCTTCCCACCATTTTCCTCCCTTTATAAGCTTTGCTATCATATTGAACTGCGCACACTCGCACAGACTATCCTATACTCTGTGAGACCTGTGTCTATATTTTATTGTATCTGATGTTTGTTCGAATAAACATCACCAGAAAGACAACTCTGTCTGATTCACCATTTATTTGTTTTCTGACTTGTACTCTACAGTATTGGGGTTTTTAGATTTCCATAACACCACTTAACATCAATTCAAACACCATGACACAATTCCATCAGATTAATGATAAAAACCTAGAGCACATTATACAACTTCTGAAATCCTCCTCCTGCTGCCTTGATATTATTCCAACAGGATTTTTTAAAGATGTTTTGCCTTGCATGGCCTCAGATCTACTTCATATAGTAAACACATCTCTTCACTCAGGTGTTTTTCCACAGGCCCTGAAAACTGCAGTCATTAAACCGCTCTTAAAAAAGAATAATCTAGATGCTTCAGTAATGAACAATTACAGGCCCATATCAAACCTCCCATTTCTAGGTAAAATCATTGAAAAAGTTGTTTTTCAACAGTTGAGTAATTTCTTGCATTTAAATAACTGTTTCGATGTGTTCCAGTCAGGCTTTCGTCCAAACCACAGCACTGAGACTGCTCTTGTAAAGGTCTTTAATGACATCCACTTAAACACAGACAGTGGCAGAACTTCAGTGTTAGTATTATTAGATCTCAGTGCTGCGTTTGACACTGTTGACCACAGCATATTACTAGACCGACTGGAAAACTGGGTGGGACTTTCGGAAACAGTTCTAAATTGGTTTGAATCCTACTTAAAGGACAGAAACAACTTTGTTTCTATAGGTAAATACACATCTGAGTTGACAAATATGACATGTGGGGTTCCTCAAGGCTCCATCTTGGGGCCTCTTCTCTTTAACATCTACATGCTACCACTGGCTCAGATAATGAAAAACAACAAAATAAGTTACCATAGCTATGCAGATGACACACACATTTACGTAACAATTTCACCAGGAGACTATGCTCCAATTCAAACACTGAGTAAGTGCATTGAACAAATCAATGACTGGATGTGTCAGAACTTTCTCCAATTAAACAAAGATAAAACTGAGGTAATGGTTTTTGGAGCCAAGTCAGAACGTATAAAAGTTAGCGCTGAGCTTCAGTCTGCAATGTTCAAAACAACAGATAAAGCCAGAAATCTAGGTGTAGTCATGGACTCTGACCTGAGTTTCAACAGTCACATTAAAACAGTTACTAAATCAGCCTACTATCACCTAAAGAATATATCTAGGATTAAAAGACTAATGTCACAGCAGGATTTGGAAAAACTTGTCCATGCTTTTATCTTCAGTAGACTCGACTACTGCAATGGTGTCTTCACAGGTCTCACTAAAAAATCTATTAGGAAGCTGCAGCTGATTCAGAACGCCGCTGCTCGAGTCCTCACTAACACTAAGAAAGTGGATCACATCACTCCTGTTCTGAAGTCTTTACACTGGCTTCCTGTGTGTCAAAGAATAGATTTCAAAATACTGCTGCTGGTTTATAAAGCTTTGAATGGTTTAGGCCCAAAATACATTTCTGACCTCCTGCTAAATGATGAACCATCCAGATCTCTCAGGTCTTCAGGGACTGGTCAGCTTTCTGTCCCCAGAGTCAGAACTAAACATGGAAAAGCAGCGTTCAGTTATTATGCTCCAAATATCTGGAACAAACTCCCAGAAACCTGCAGGTCAGCTGCAACTCTGACTACTTTTAAATCCAGGCTGAAGACTTTTCTTTTTGTCGCTGCTTTTAATTGAACTATTCATATCTTAGACTGCACTGTAACTTTTATCCATGTATTTTTTCTTTTAATGTTTATTTTATTAGCTTTTCTTTTTAATGACTGATTTTAAATGCCATTTTCTTAATGTCTTTCATTTTTTGTAAAGCACTTTGAATTGCCTTGTGTTGAAAAGTGCTATATAAATAAACTTGCCTTGCCTTACAGGGGAAACAAAAGGCTGCGTCTGCTTTTAACGAATATTCAAGCCGGTCTGTTATTGTACCATGCAGCGGCTAAAGTGCGCTTCTTTCCTGAAAACAATCTGCCTGGATAACAATTCAGTTTCACCTGGTTGGGTTTATTAACCCCAAGATCATCTGGGGCTGTTGGTCTTTGAGCGGTTGCTGGCCCAATAGTACCTGTTGATGTGCTGCAAGGTAGCGTCTGTAGTGGAGGCACCAGCACGGAGGAGGAGGGAGGAGGAGGAGGAGGAGGAGGAGGAGGAGGAGGAGGAGGATGCTGGCGGGTGTGGTACAGGCCAGGGTGTGGCAACGCAGGTGGTGATGGTATGGGGCACAAGGAGCTGTGCCTCGGAGGACAGCGTTGGTGGCGGCCACCTTGATGAGTCAAGGCTTGGGCTCGCTAACTCAGCCCCGGGGTTTGCCGAGGTCAAGCTTGTGATATTAAGGCGTGCTGCTGCAACGGCAGGTGCAGGGTCGCCAGCAGCACCATCGGCTGCAGTTCTATCATCGCTATTTCGTTTTAAAAAATCCTTAGACCTTTTCAGCCAATTTCTGATGTCCATTTTGTATTTCAAACAGAAATGGGAGTTTACAGAATGCACAATAAACAATAAACAAATCTAGAATAGGCGGCAGAGTGTGACGCTGTGACTGGTCTAAATGTGGACGAATCACAAATCACAACAGACACGACATGAATTTATTTGACGCAGCCTGCGATTTTTTGTTTTAGTTACTATCTGACATCACATACATCGTAGCATAAAAGTTCACAGTTTATTTATAATTAAAAAAATAAAAAAATAATTATTTTTTTTAAACGTTATAAATAATAAAAAACGTGTATATTGGGGGAGGGCAGGAATGTCAAATGGGAGGGCCTGGCCCTCCCACGGCGCCGGGCATGCCACCAGGGGCCGCAGATTCACTTGGAACACAGACATTAGTTGTCTAACTTGATCCTAAGACACAATAAGGGGAATGTCAACACAGGCACCTGTCAACCCGCACTCTGCTGCTCCTCAGCGCCGCTCCCCCTCCCGCTGAAATTATGAATGAAATGCGCATCATAGATAACACGGCAGGGTCCGTGGCAGTTTGTTTTCATCTGATTTCAAATAAACAAAGTCTTGGTTTTTAGAATATTAAACTTGTTTAGCCAAATTCAGATGATAAATACAACTTTTAAGCTTGTAAAGGCATAATTACAAGCGGCAACTTAACGTCACAGCAGGCATAACAACAGCCGGTGTTTCTTGTGAGTGTTTCCCCGGGAAACAAACAAGAATACACACAAACGTGTCACAGATTATTTTTGCGGTATTTGGTTTCCGAACGAAATCATGTACGCAGATCGCGACGTAACTAGTGGACGGTATCAGTACTACAAGTAAAAAATAAAAATGTGTAATTTTTTTTTAATAAATTACATTGTTTAGAAATTAATCTGAGGGCCGCAAAAAGAGGAGGTGGGGGCCGCCATTGGCCCATCCCTGCTCTACAGGGTTGCTACAATACATTCAGCAAGGTATTTTCTTTCATATATTTGTTGATTTATTTTTGTACCAACTCCTTTCCTCGATCTCTTTTTGTGCATTTATTGCATTTTCATTCTAATCCTGCAATCCATGTTTGGAACATGGATGACGTTCTAAATGGTATTTCATCACAACCCTCATTGCATATTCTTCCATACAGCTTCTCTCCAACGGCCTCAAAAAAGTGCACCCTCCAGGCTTTGATAAAGACTGCCTCTTACCATTTGATGAAACTCTCTTGCAGCACAAGAAACACACAGGAGAGCTTTGGACTGATCTCAGACACTGATGATTTATTGGGAGTTACGGATGGAGAAATGCCAGAAACATATTCCTTCTATGCTTTCCACATGTGTGGTGAATTTACAATATAACTTCTTGGAAGAACAATGTACTCGTTATTTTTGAAACACTCAATATCCCAAATAATCATTGCTCAGACTAACACAACTTTTTGTCGTTTATCTTCCATGCTGAACGTGCATCAGGGTTCATGTTCATTATTGATTGCTGCAAACCAAGGACAAGTTCATAGTTCTTATCCAAGATGGGTAATCTCAGCCTTGCTCCGACCACTGGGTTCTCAACAAGAACAGACCAACACACTTACACACAAATACACATGTACTGTAGTACTAGAGCGAACAAGGATACATATGTAATACATTGAACTATAGTTCACATGTATGTACAATATGTTAGCTAACAGGACGTCAGGTGTGAACTGCTTTGACCTAAAGGGCCTTTGAGGAAGATATTGCACCAGTCAGAGGGACGCAATGTTTTACTTACTTGGGAAAAACATTTAAAAGGAAGGATGTCAGAAAAAGTATACAGAAAAAAACTAAATGACTTCATACCATAATACAAGAAACGGTATAAGATAAATGTTGTAAAAGAACAGATTTAAACATTGCTTTTACATGAACTGTGATTGTACAGAAACAACACAATCAAGTAGTATGTGTATGAACAGCCTGTAAATAGATTTTCTTTTTCTTAAAGATTTTTTCGGGCAACCAGTGCCTTTATTGAAGGGACACAGTTGAAAGGGGAGGATAGAGGAGATGACACTCAAATGGTCCCAGGCCCAGATTCAAACCCTGGTCCTCCGCACTGGGAGGCAAGAGCTGTTTGCCATCAAGGAAACACATCGAACCAGCTGGGAAACATTGGGAACTGTCAATTTATATTTTCAGCAAGTTCGACTAAGACTGAAGTGCTAGTACAAAAACATTTTATGACAACACCTGGTAAAAACAAATAAGACTCAACTTCCATACCATTCCAACTTAAGAAATCAAGAAATAAACTTTGTCTCAAAAAGTTATTATGTGAAAGGCTCCTCCTCAAGTTAAAAGAGACTCTTCTATGAAATCAGTCTACCACGAGAAACACACCAGGTTCAGATGAAAGATCACTTACACATACAGGGTCCAATGTCTTCAAGCCTACCAAGGCATATGAAAATTAATAGGTACTGAATACATTTAACAAAACCAGCATAGACACATAATAATGTGCTTGTGTTGGCAACAATTAATCACGTTTAAATGCTGGTATTTTGCTTTTCAAATACATGTCTGGCTTTGACAATTTCTTACTAACCTGGAACTTTCTTTTAGGGACACATCGATACTTATATGGTATTGGACAGGACAACTGTGAACCAAAATATGTTGGCAGCTTGTTTCAGTAAAATACATATAGTGCTGCATGCTCTGTGTCAAAATCAAAGCAAAGAAACTCCAATTTTTAATGATTTCAAATATACAAGGATTGTATAATTCAGTAGAGCAGCGGTTCCCAACCTTTTTCAACTCGGGGCCCACTTAAGAATCAAAAAACATGTTTGCGGCCCACATTCAACCATAAACAATACGGAGACTAAATAAAGTTCTGATTGGTCAATTCAGAACATTGGACACGTAAATCCAGTAGAACAGACCACTGTCAAGGACTGTAATGACCGTTGCTAAGGAGGATCAAGAAAGAGAAAGGAAAAGAGGTTAAAATAAAATCTTAATAATGAAAATGTTTCCACACAAATCATAATGTTTTGCAAATGATTTGGCGGCAAATATTGAATTTACATTACACCCTTTAATATTTTATGTGGGCTTTTAGATGAAGACTGCACACAGTTAATAAATACAACTATTCTCCTGGCTTAAATACATATTTTTAAAAGTCAATCAAGGAGTTATCTTAATTTAAGGTGTTTGAAGAGTAGATCAAACATACAATTTATTTTGGAAAAAATGATTGCCAAAAAAAATCAAAGGGTGGCTCAACACGCCATGAAATGGGAAATAGTTAGCTCTAACGAAGAGTGGAATTAAAGGAACAATATGCTTGCCATGTTGTATTTCTGGTGGTATTCGGTTGTCAACCTATTTTTGTTTGTGAAATGTTGAAGTGATCCTACTGACTGTATCTTTATTTCTTCTGTTTTTGTCTGAGATGAGAATTTCATCTCCTATTATGTTATTGTTATGTCCATGTGTGTGTCTTTAGCCTGTACAAAAAAAAAAAAACATTATTTGGCGGCCCACTTGCAATGCCTTCACGGACCACTAGGGGCCCACAGGATGGGAACCGCTGCTGTATAGGATTAAATATTACACCATTTATATTGGATGAAGTTGAGTAGTTGTCTAAATCCTAATCAATAAAAGTCATGTACATCAAATACTTATTTAGTTCTTCTGATATAACACAGTCCTTTAGTGATGTCAATCTAATGACCTCTGCAATTGAAACCGAAACCCTCTTTAATCACACATGCGAGCACACAGTGTTCTCTGCATTTAACGCATGCTAGTAATAGGAGCAGTGGTCAGCTATTGTACAGCGCCTGGGGTGCAATGGGGGGGGGCTGTCTGGTGTCTTGCTCAAGGGCACCACGGCAGGGCCCAGGAGGTGAACTGGGACCTCTCCAAGTACAAGTCCACACTCCATATGTAGGTCTGTTCGGGGACTTGAACCGGCAACCCTACAGCTCACAGTCTAAGCCCCTACTGACTGAGCCACTACTGGACACTACACTACATCAGTTAGCTGACCTTTCTGAGCTTCTTTGGTCCAACACTTTTGGTTTACAATGAAAATCTTCAATTTAATTGAGGTAACCATGCTGGAAATGTGATTTTCAACCACATGTATCAAAAACACATTTGATTCGGCATATCATTTGTACTTAGCTCGAGTTTAAAGCAAAAGTTTTGTTGTATTTCAGTTTCAACCTGCAACAGGTTGAAGCAACAGAGCCATACAGTGGGAAGTTTTCAAAATGTGAAAGTATGGTATTGGTTGACAAAAACAGAGCCAGGCAAAGCCTATTAGATGTAGCTCTATCTGTACATGGGGACTCGTTAAAGTGTTTTTAAAATATCACACAAACTTACAATTGCGAGGTTCATTAAAGTGTATTTTCAAATGAAAAAATAAAATAAATCAAGTCATATTTGCTGCCAGAGGCTTCCAGCACAAAGCGAATGCATAGAAGACGTGCGTGTATATATATGTATATATATATATATATACACACAAAGTAAATAGTTAAGAATAGTTTATAGTTTAGATTAATTGTTATTATTCAAGTTCCATGAGTAATTAAAGTTTGAAATAATAAAACACATAAATACATTATGTAATGTCAGATGTATTATAGTAATATAGCAATACTCTTAAACAACAAGTATTGCAATAAATGTAACAAAAAGGTGGCCAATACATTTGGCTTCTGCAACTGGCCTGGGAGTTCACAGATACTGTGACCCCCACCCCTCACAGCGGAGACGCTTGTTGAAACCAGTTTTGTTCATCGTTAAACATTTGCTTGCATGTTGTAAAGGAAACAAATGCACATGCTTAACTTCTCTTAGTTCAATAATGTGCTGAAATGCCACTAATTACTTTTGCAGCCGAAACCCACCGCAACATCAAAAAGTAGTGCATTCAAACAAAGCATTAGTCACCCAGTTATGCAACAGTAACAAATACAGATATCCTTCACCTTAAATGTAACAATTCAAAATACATTTGTGTAAGTGCATGCTCTCTTTGTTACATCTTAACAGGAAGTTTTCAACCACTCCTTTTCATTTATTTAATTCTCATTCAAGTTAACTGTCTTAACTTTTATAAAAGCAGATCAAGACTGAATATTTATTTTTAAACTGCCATTTAACCCCCAAACATCAGTCCCCAAAGTCAAATCCTTCACTTTGAACGAGAACGCGGTAAATGCATCTTATAAAGTTGCATACAAAAAATATATTTGAGGCAATGAACTCTGCCATCTTTAGGTTCCAGGCACCACTTCATATTAAAACTGTAAAGCCCAAACATAGAAAACAATATTTGAGGCATTTTACTTACTTGAATCTGACAAATCCAGTCCAATAAAACAAAGAGATGTTGCTCGTTTTAAGAATCAGAAGTTTTGTGAGTGTATGGCCAGAGGGCAAGACCTATAAACACATGTAATACCCAATAGCATTGTGAGGCTGAACAAAAGGACCTTTTGACTATGTAAATGTAGTCTTTAAAAAACAAAACATTTACTGACTTGTAAATATTTAAATAGCTTAAAGTAATGTTGCAAAATTACAACCGGGGGCCTTACAGGGTTAACACATGCAATTAGAAAAGCTGCACACGCTGAGATAAGATGGCATGGAGTGTAACGCTTCTGCCTTTGCTAGGTTTTACTAATATGATCATTAACAGTGTTTCAATGAAAGAAACAGTGTTTCAATGAAAGAAAGTAAATCCAGTCAGGCTGGAAGGGTTTGAATGAACGAAGATATAAAAATAGGAGTGAAATGACTCTTAGTGATAGGCCCTCAACCCTCTTTTTGGGGTTGAGTCATGACTCAAGGGTGCCAATATGGTAAAACTTCATTTAGATCGGCAGATGTGGAGATTATTAGCTTGATTATTATTAGTTGAGACAATCACAGTTAAAGTTGATAACAACAGCAGATAATGGAGATGGTTCCGTGTGGCAAGTTGAGAACATCTCCACAAATCTGCTCACAGAGACTGGTGGAGGAGGATTTTCAATCAGGTGGTAACAATAATACTGATATAAATAAGAAATAAGGAAGCTGGTATGTTGAAACTGTTTCTATGATTATATTGGACTGGCACTATATTTTGAATTAATTGTAATGCATCGTACCTCTCATGGACAGGTAGTTTAGTAATTACTGTTGAACAACCCCTGTTGCATGTGTTTCAGTGATAAAACATGAGAAAGATGAACGGCTATGGTGCGCAATGGTAACGAGACATCTTAAAAAAAAAAAAAAGAAGCAGAATAAGGAGTAATGGCTGGGCAGGTTGATGTGTGTAGAGCTCTGTGTTGTCATGCTATCTTTTTTTCCCCAATTTTACATTGTAAGTTAAATACAGTGAATGTACATCAACATACAGGACCTGCCACCTTCAGATGCTGCAGGGGCTCATTAACTGAAGCATCTTTTCAGACAGGTAATGTGAGAATCCCCCACGTCTTCATAGATCAGTGCTGACTGCTTTACTGACTGTCCTGCTTGCTGATACTTGCTGGAAAGTGTACCTTGAAAGTGTTAACATAACCTACAAAACGAGTCACAACTGTACGCGTGCACACATTACATGTGTCATAGATGTGCTCTGGTACTTGACAATTGACAAGTAGCATTGTAGCCCCCATTGCAGTCAAACCTGCAGGTTGGAGGAAGAGCCGGAATGATTAACATGTTGCTGAGTTTGTCTGATGGACCTGTCCACCAATCAATCATTGTGGATGATGATTTTTTCCAGATGTCATGGGGTCATATGAGGATCTCCACCATGTCGTTGTCCACTTCCTGTTGGATCGGCGGTGCTGTAGGGAGAGCCAGTTGCTGTTGGTGAGACTGAATGGCGAACCGTCTCTCGAGGATGCTGCTGTGAAACACTGGCACATCTGCATAGAACAGTTAAAAACATTTTTAATTAGTTAGCGTTGCTGATGGTCCAGTCTTAGTAAACAAAACAAAACCAAAAAACATCAGGTATGAAGCGCAACAACTAAAATAATAATTTTGTTTACTTTATTGTGATAGAGATTTTAGGTCATATGGTCCAGGCCTTTTTCTGATATGTTTGTCCTGATTTACAACAGCCATTTGGAACTTATGCTGCGTTCACACCGGACGCAATGCGAATATTCGCTTTGCTCTAATCGCTCTTATTGCATCGCTCTAAACGCTCGAGTTTCACCGCGGCTGTCAGCTGTGTTTACTCGCATCATTCAAACAAGACACGCTGGCTTGGGAGCTACAACTACAACAAAATTAACATATTTTACCATGAATTAATTGTAATACACGTTTCAAAATGATGCCGAAGTAACAACATACTGATACCGGTTAGTAAAAACCATGAATTAAGGCTTTGACAAGTCTGCAGACAGACGGCAGGCGAAACACCCTTTTAAAATGCGTGTTTTCTGAATGGAGATCGGATCGATCAGGCGAAGCTAACGTTGGATATGCTCCGTCCACACTCACAACAACGGCCTACAGACATAGATAAACCAGCGACTATATTTGCCATGACACAGACAGTCTGTGGTTTGTACTTGTTTAACTTTTGTCTAGTTTCTGAACAGATATGAGGAGCTGTGAGCTCTGAGTGCTAACTGCTAACGGCTGATGTTTTGGTTTTGTGGTTCGAATTGAAGATGACGTTATGGCAGTTTTACGCGCCGTCGCTCCGCCCGCCGAACAGCCGATCGCCCCGCCTACACTGCGTTACTATAGTTACTACCCCAGTACTAAACTGTAATGGAAACGCAGCATAAAGTGAGCCTGGCCTACCAAGGCCTAACCATACCGGACTAAGCCGTGCTAGGTCCTGCAGTGGAAAAGCGCCATAAGTAAACCTAACACCCAAAAAATGGGACAAACACTGACAACAGTATTTTTTAAAGGTTTAAATCGCTGGGCTGTTTGTTTTGTAGAGGAGAGACCCCTGTGGATAACTAGCTCCTGGTACAAACATCCTGAACAGTTTAATGTTATGTTTTTATATGCAACATTTAACTATTAATATGTCTAAAAATGTCTGGCATCAAAATCTGTTCATATAAATCTTCAGGAAAATCTTTAAGTGTTTTCAAATGTTTTTCAACCATTGGAAAACATCCTCACGTGGATTCCTTTAATCATCAGGTTGTCTGACAAAAGCTTGTATAATTCATCCAGTTTTAAGCCCCATTTTTGTTATACACTTAATAGATCTTGGTCATTTTTAACTACATTTTAATCAGAGGGTTAGTTAGCAAGCTGAGCAAATGTTAGCCTACAGTCCCTCTGCTCTGTGTCCTAACAGGGAAAGACTGATATTTAACATTGCTTGATTCAGGGGTTCTACAGGGTTTACTCATTGGGTCCATTTGTTTTGAGTGCTTTAGACCTTTGCCTGGCTCCTCCAAGTTATTGCGGTGTGATCAGAGCCTAAAACATCTCCGAGATTATACTGACATGTCTGACAAACAGTTTGAGCTGACCTGCCAGGCGGTCGGGGATGTAGACTGGGGTTGGGCTGGACAGACGAGCAGGCAGAGTCATGCTCTGCACGGCAGGCGTGCTGGGTTTGCTATTGTCCTGACTTTGTCCTTTGTCTGTCTGTGTGCAGCTGTCCCTGCTGCCTGTCTTCGAATGGCCTGCATTCATTTGGGTGGAAGGAAGCACTGGTGAAGGGGATGAAGAGATTGACTCAGTCCTGATGGACTCTGTCCGAAACTCAGAACCAAGCAAAACCCCTGCAGGAACATCAGCAGAGATCAGTTGTTAAAAGTGACATCCATCAGCTGTTCTCAAAAAAAGGTTCACACATGGTAATGAATATTGGTTATTACCTAGGCTGCCCTTCCAGCTGGTGTCCTTGCGTTCTTCAGTGATCGGCGAGCTACTGAGGCCGAGGCTGTGAGAGAGCAGTCCTGAACCACCAGAGCCAGTGTTCGAAATGGACATCAGGGACTTGGAGGGCCTCATAGCAGATTGCGCATCTGACTTGATTGGCTCCTTCTTGGAACGCTGGTGAAGCACCTTGATCATAGCATCTTTCTCTATGATCTGGGCATGAAGATTCTTTATCCTGTATTAGGCAGAACAAGAGCATGGACCTGAATGGAGCCATAGTTCCAGGACAACGAAACCTAGAGAGCTATGTGAGCGCAAGTACACCACGAGTTAAATTATTTGGACTAATGACAAAAAGTACACATTGTAACCTTTATGTTCTGATCTCCTTTGTGTTTACGCTAGCTTTTTACAAACACACCAAAAAGACTAAACATCAAGTCATATAGACTGCATCCAGTGGCAACATTGGCTGGAAAATGAAGCAAACACGGAAGAGCCATCAACTGCATGCCAGCCAAGCTCCTTGAATGGCTGCTTGAGGCTGGCTCCAGAAGGGAGTTAAAAAGGCTCTACTTTATAGAGGAAATGGACATGTTTACAGCCTGGTACAAAAAACAGGTTTGGGCTCATAGATAACTACTCAGTTATGAAAACTGTATGGGGGTGAATTTTTATATAACTGGACCATTTAAATCCATCCCAGGTGCCTCATTTATAAACTTTGCGTAGGATTCACGTGAAAAGATGGCGTACGCAGGAACAAAGGAAGTGCATAAGCACAAAAATATTCTGTAATGCGGTGCAGCTTTTGCGGGCTTCACGTAACACTAGGGATGTAACGATATACCGAATATCGCGGTAAATAAACGTCCCAATACCGTTGTGAGACTGACAAAATCTACCGCGATTTTCTTTTTCAATTAATTATTTTTTTTAAATATAATTTTTTTTAAACACTTTTTTTGTTTTAAACCTTTATTTAACCAGGTGGTCCCATTGAGATCATCGATCTCTTTTTCAAGAGAGACCTGTCCAACATGGCAGCAAGTAGGTTACAACATGAACATAAAACAACAGAACACAAAAGGACATCGTATTTACAGGGCTACATTTACATACCTAGTGACATTGACAAGTACCAACAGTATATTTATATCTCGCCCTGTCAATAAGCATCACCTTCTTGGCAAAAACTGTATTGTTTTTGAAGTGGTGGAGAGACAATGCATAGTTTGACCCACTGCTGTCACCCATGGCCAAAGCATATCTCTCCGTCCCACTGAGGTGGCGTTAGACCTTTTCGCGGTCCGTCATTTTGAGAGACAGGATCGTAAAATGTCCGTCATAATCCCTTATTACCCGTCAGGTCTGAACAGAGAGAGAGAGCACGCTCGTGAACTGTCAACGGGGGGGGGGGGCGGTGTTATGCCGTGTGTGCATGCACCTCGCGGGAGCGCACACAGCGTAAAGCAAAACCTCCCAGACATGTATTGATCTGTACGGCAAAGTACGGTTTGGAAACTATATCATTTCCTTTTGGAGGGCATGCATAACACGGCATAACACCAGAGCCTCGCTGCGGGGAAACGTTGGCGCTGTTCCGAGTTTGTTCTAATCTGTCAAAATGACAGACTGCTTTCAGATTTTTCCGTCATTGTTAAATCAAATATTCGGTTAACGCGACCACTGCTGTCCCAGCAACATCAGTACCAAGCGAGAGAGTTTTGTCCAGAGCAGGGGATATTGTAAATGCCCAAACATCCCAGCTTATAAATACCTGGAAATGTGGACATTCTCATATTCCTAAAAACCTGTCTGATGATGCTGAGTGAGTGACTAATGAGTTTGAGTTGAGTTACTTGAAAAACTAAAGTGAAACTTGATTTATTTTATTGCAGGGTCTGATTATTAAATGTCCTTGTTTATTTGTGAGATGCAGTGGCACAAAGAAAATGCCTACTTTGTTTGGTAGTACTATAGGTACAAAAACACTGGTTTTCTTGTTCCACACTTTAAAATACTGCTATCCTACTAAAATGCTGTACAAATCTGATTTATTATGTAATAAAGAAACATTTTTCGAGTAAAAAAGATTTTGTATTGAAAAAAAAAAAATTGAATTTTTTTTTTTCTCCTTTATTATTCAATATCGCGATAAATACCGTACCGTGGACTTGTTATCGCGATGGGATCCTGATCTGCCGACGAGGCTCCATTAACATATAAATATTTTTAGTGAATTACTGAGTTTAGGCACGTGAATAACGTTTTAATGAAGTTGAATACAGTATATTCATATGTGTCAGTGATTTCATGTCAATTCGGCGAACATAAACATAAATGATCGTGGTGAAGATGATGATTAAATTAGGATTACAAATCGAGAGCCGGGCTGCATTTCCTCCCGTTCGTTTTTTTCGACTAAACAACATTATTTTGTTAAATAAAAACATGGTGATGTTTTGTAAATGATTACATGTCTCTTATTTAGCACAGAGTATGATATCCGTGACATATGGATCTTAACAAAGTTCCGCTGTACATCCAGCGTACTGTATCTGACTTTATTTCACATGAGCTCCAGTGTGGAACCCCACTGCACCCCCTGGTGGATCAATGATCCATTGCAGCTGGCTTCATTATAATTACATTTATTTATCACGGGGGTGGTCTCAAGTCAAGCTGGAGGTTTTCCCTTGAGCGAGGGCAGGTCACGTACCAATCACGGCCCTCGCGTTTCAAACTGTCCGAAATTAGGTGCTACATCTGAATACACAAAATAACCATTTCTCTCAAATATTGTTCACAAATCTGAAAAGAATCTGTGATAGTGAGCACTTCTCCTTTGCCGAGATAATCCATCCCACCTCACAAGTGTGGCATATCAAGATGCTGATTAGACAGCATGATTATTGCACAGGTGTGCCTTAGGCTGGCCACAATAAAACGCCACTCTGAAACGTGCAGTTTTGCTTTATTGGGGGGGTCTGGGGGGGTCCGAAAACCAGTCAGTATCTGGTGTGACCACCATTTGCCTCACGCAGTGCAACACATCTCCTTCGCATAGAGTTGATCAGGTTGTTGATTGTGGCCTGTGGAATGTTGGTCCACTCCTCTTCAATGGCTGTGCCAAGCTGCTGGATATTGGCAGGAACTGGAACACGCTGTCGTATACGCCGATCCAGAGCATCCCAAACATGCTCAATGGGTGACATGTCCGGTGAGTATGCTGGCCATGCAAGAACTGGGATGTTTTCAGCCTCCAGGAATTGTGTACAGATCCTTGCAACATGGGGCCGTGTATTATCATGCTGCAACATGAGGTGATGGTCGTGGATGAATGGCACAACAATGGGCCTCAGGATCTCGTCACGGTATCTCTGTCCATTCACAATGCCATCAATAAAATGCACCTGTGTTCGTCGTCCATAACATACGCCTGCCCATACCATAACCCCACCACCACCATGGGCCACTCGATTCACAACATTGACATCAGAAAACCGCTCACCCACACGACGCCACACACGCTGTCTGCCATCTGCCCTGAACAGTGAAAACCGGGATTCATCCGTGAAGAGAACACCTCTCCAACGTGCCAGACGCTATCTAATGTGAGCATTTGCCCACTCAAGTCGGTTACGACGACGAACCGGAGTCAGGTCGAGACCCCGATGAGGACGACGAGCATGCAGATGAGCTTCCCTGAGACGGTTTCTGACAGTTTGTGCAGAAATTCTTTGGTTATGCAAACCGATTGTTGCAGCAGCTGTCCGAGTGGCTGGTCTCAGACGATCTTGGAGGTGAACATGCTGGATGTGGAGGTCCTGGGCTGGTGTGGTTACACGTGGTCTGCGGTTGTGAGGCCGGTTGGATGTACTGCCAAATTCTCTGAAACGCCTTTGGAGACGGCTTATGGTAGAGAAATGAACATTCAATTCACGGGCAACAGCTCTGGTGGACATTTCTGCTGTCAGCATGCCAATTGCATGCTCCCTCAAAACTTGCAACATCTGTGGCATTGTGCTGTGTGATAAAACTGCACGTTTCAGAGTGGCCTTTTATTGTGGCCAGCCTAAGGCACACCTGTGCAATAATCATGCTGTCTAATCAGCATCTTGATATGCCACACCTGTGAGGTGGGATGGATTATCTCGGCAAAGGAGAAGTGCTCACTATCACAGATTTTTTCAGATTTGTGAACAATATTTGAGAGAAATGGTTATTTTGTGTTTATAGAAAATGTTTTAGATCTTTGAGTTCATCTCATGAAAAATGGGAGCAAAAAATAAAAGTGTTGCATTTATATTTTTGTTCAGTGTAGATACCGTTATTAATCAGCTGTAAGTTTTATTTTGTTTGAACTTATTCATTATAATTATTGCACAAAATGGTATAAGAATGCAAACATTAAGATCTGTTCTGTTTAAATTAATTATAGTCTATTATCAATTCAGGTTAAGAAACTAGTGTTTCTTGCATCCTATTTTAAAGGCATTTCTTTTTATACTCTACTAAAATGCAACAAAAAAAGGGTTTGATTTTATTAATTTTGTCTTTTTTATTGCACTGTTGCAGCAGATTCCTGTGTAGCTTCAGATCTGAGTTGTCTTATTAGTAAGCCTCATTTATACTTTTGTAGCAACACTATGTTTATATAATGGCAAAGAAAGGGTTCAGAGTCTTTTCTTTTTTCCATGTGTCATATGTGGCAGCACTGTTCAATGTTTCTTGAAAACATTACCCACTGTAGTGTGACGTGTGAATAAACTCCAACTCTGTATCAACAACACTGTTGTGTAACTTCAGTTAAATACTTGTATGTGTGTAGATTAGAAAGAGGTAAGATAAAGGATCTGCAGTATTTTATGAAGTATTAATCGTACAAAGGTCAGTTTTATACAAGTAGAAGTGTGTATTTACCTGGTAGTAGGCTGTCAGTAATGGCTACGCCTCTCTATTTGGACTGGTAGATCTCGGCAGACTGGCAACTTTAAAAGTAGCTCTCGGTTCAAAAAAGGTTGGGCACCCCTGTCCTAGAGAATATGTCCATATTCTCATATTTAGCAGGTCTCCCTTGAAAAAGAGATCAATGATCTCAATGGGATACACCTGGATAAATAAAGATTTAAAAAATAAATAAATAAATAAAATAAATTACGAGCACTATCTGTTCCTAAAGTGGTGACCCTGTATTTTCTACCACTGTGCAACCTGGCTAGTGTTTGCTGAAGGAAAATGCCTTTCCTCTGTTTTCACCACACCTAAAGCGAACAAGTGCAGTAGTGCCGTTACACCTAGGTAGTGGTGGCTGCTTGATAACTCCCCTGCTGTCTTCGCACTGCAGTGCAATTAGTTTTAAAATAACTGTGCCTGAATAACTTGAGGAATTTGGGGTGGGAACTTGGTAATGTTTTTTTTTTCATGTGTTGATGTTCCCAGATTAATGAAGAGCATTAGTGCGTTAATGTTGATAAAAGAGTGTTACTGGGATCATGTTACCTTCGTGAGTTAAGGAGTTTTTACTAGGTGTTTCACTCCATGCATTTATACATACATATCTATCTCTCAGGAAGACTGCATGTATGTGGAGATGCTTTACCTGCTTTCCATATCCAAACAGCGGCGATTGGCCATCAGAATCTCTTCTTCTTCCTTCTGGATTCGAGCCTCTACTGACGTGTCATAGCTGCTGCTGGGAGAATGGCCGATCACTGATACAGCTGTGTCCCTGCCAAACAGGACGGAGCCTCCATTAGATAATTTCAGGCTTCAAAAGTAGCTGCACTTCACACTTTATTGCTGACCTTTTAAGGACCGTCATGAAGAGCATTATGTCGTCAAGTTTGCAATCAACACCACTGTCCTCGGCCACATTACAATAATTGACAGGAGGCAAAGACACGCACTTTAAGAACAACCAACTTAAATAATAAGAAAGCTAAATCGAAGAAAGCATCCTGACTGTAAACATTACAAACTGACATGGGTTGTACACAGCTCAGGAAAGGAGGACTATGCACCCCTGATTGAAGCTGACATAAAAAGGTAAGGAGCCTGCCAGTCAGTTCAATTTAGTGCCATCGGGGCAAGCGATAGTGTTTCCGCTGCCATACAGAATAGCTACTTTTCTAAGGTTGTAAGACTCCTCATCCTATCTTGTTGAGCACAAAGGGACGACAACTTGCATTTAGTTTTTCCTCTGCATTAAAAATAAACTAACCTTGGTCATATGAGAGGAAATGTCAACAACTGTCTTGCACATATACCTCTGAGTGGCCACAGAAGCAGCAGCATCAAGGGCAAACTGCCTCATCACGCTCTCCTCTAAGTACTTCTGCTCCCATTTGGTCATGTCGGCCTCCAGAGCTAGGATGCGCTCTTCCTTCTCCCTCAGGTGCTCCATCAGCGCTGTGGCGTTGTACTCTGATGATACTGCTCCACTGCTTTGAGTGGCTCCCTGACGCTTGGAGGGACAAACAGGGGAAGCAGAAATAATGAGGGAGACAGAAGAGGCACTTAAAAATATTGATAGCTATGTTATCTTTCAACTGTAGTAATTTGCTGATATGGCCAAACATTATTTTGCATGTGTGTTTTTCACAACACTGATTCATACTACCTGAATGTATTCACATTGTATCTATAGATTTAGATTTGAATTGATTGTCTACGGTCATTTGTAAATCCATTAGGGCTGTCCCCAAATAGACAAAACGTTAGTTAGCTTAAACAAAGTATTATTCGACACATTTTTCATTAGTCAAAGGAAAAAAAAGAAAAGAATAAAATAAGCTCCATCCGCGCTGCGTGTGCTCTGCTGGAAGACCCCTCAGACTTCATTCAGAGCTGTGGCTGGTCATTGAGAATCCAAAGTCTGATGCATGTAAAGGACGAGCCCCACAAGGTGATATGCAAACTCCGCAGGAAACAAGTGGCCTCCGTATCCACGCCATCGGAGTGCAGCTTCCCGAATGCGGCATCAATGCAAAACATAGAGCTTAATCGTCCCCGACAACGTGTGTTCTCAGACTTGGAGGAAAACAGAGGCAGTGAGTCTTAAGTTTATATTATTGGTCTTAATATATTTATACAACACAAAAAATAAGGAAATCTGTGTTTGGTAAATTATTTATTTGTTGTAACAATTCTTCTCAGCAATACATCTTATACGGTTGGAAAGCCTGTTTTCTTACCTTACAAATGGGGCCACATTAGTGAGGAACATGCATTTGTGGGATGAGCAGCAGAGCAGAGTATGTGGGTTGCACCCATGAAAAATGTGATAAATCTCCTCTGCCAACCGCTTTTTTTTTGCTGCTGACTCTTGTTTGGTTGTGTTTGGTAAATTGGATGATTTAAGTTGCTATAAACAGGCTTTCCAACGGTATAACATTATTTGCCAAGAAGCATTGTTACAACAAATAAATAATCTACCAAACACATATTTCCTTACTTTTTGTGTTAAGTTTATAATAACGCTGACCTCTGAAAAAGAGACTTAAAAGCTTTAATTCGTCGATCAGTGCGTAATGGCGGAGGTGTTTTTTTCCAGACTTAAAATAATGTAATCATTTGTCGTAATTATGCAGGGCCTCTTCTTTCCACCGGCATGGCGATTACCTGCTGCATGCGTAGCGACTCCAGCTCTCGCTCCAGTCTCGTTCGAAGTCGATGCTCGAGTTGTTCTCTTTTCTCACAGGCTGCCTGGAGCTGAGCCAAAGCCTGCTGCATCCTCTCCACCTTCTCAACATAAACCTGCTTCTTCTTTAGCTGTGCATAGACAGAGAGAAAGAGAGGAAAGCCAATATTTACATAATTGTCTTCTGATCTGCTATTTCTCCTTAACAAACCCTACTCCACATGTTTATAACATTTTGTGTAAAGAAATGAGGACTCCAAGATGAGGTAACCTCAAAAGCTTTCTTAGTGGTAGTGCTTCAGTTGGATTTATTTTGAATATTTGTATTGAAGACACATGGCACATCAATGGGAACCACAGTTACAAATGATACAATAGTTACAAACAACTAGTGATCAGCTTAGTCTTAACTCGTATTGTACATCAATTGAAAAGCCGTACATAGTTGATCTTGACTTGAAGGCGTACAATATTTAAAACGCACATTCATAATTCAGTTGGCATTTAATGGTAAAAACAGATTGCTTTTTTATCTTTGATCTGCAAAATTTAATTTTACTTCAGTAAAATAAGAAGCAGACTAGAGCTTATATTTACTCATCACAGATACATTGTACTGTTGTATATGTTGACATTTACCCAAAAGGTAACGGGAAGACGTCTAAATTGATATGTATAAAGCTTTAGGTTTTATTTGTTGATTTTAGCTATTGAAGTACAGTAAATCAAGTACAATTTAAACTGATAAATATTCTGCCTTATTTAACCAAATAAAACTGCATTACTTTGTGAAGAAACTGCTTAAGCTCTCGTTTACATTTGGTAGCCACAGCCAGTCAAAAGTTTTGTTCATTTTCTGCTATTACTTTTTATTAAGGAGTTAACCAAGTCTTAGCAAAGTTTACTTAGATATAAGAAGTCCTGCCAAAAGACACCTACAGCAGAAGATTTTATTTATGGTTCAGTCCCAACAGTCTCCACCGCCATCAGAAACATAAAGCACTATGAGAAAACTAGAAAATTCCGAGAAATGTTGACTGTGACTGAAACTTGGTTGTGTGTCACAATGCTAACATTACCCCCGCTGAGTAAGTATTAATAGCATTAGTTGTATTGTCAAGGTACAACAAAGAATATGTATATACATACATATTTGCACACATATTTTTATATTCTATATACATTGTTTTTATATTCGGGATTGTGGGAAACAGTATTTCGATCTCTGTACACAAAAACTGGAAGATTGAGATTAAAGTTGACTTTGTCTTTTGACTTTGAGAATAACCATGAATTTTAGCTCAGTTTTAGCTGACTATTTTAACTGTTTATCTATTAGATTTTTGGATTCTTGTACCATATTCCTGCATCGTTTCTGAACATCTTTAGATTACCACTGGATTTAAATTAGTTTAAATAAAGTCCATAGTCTCGAGAACCGTTAAAACTTGTAATTTTTGTTATACGTTAAAGTATGTGGAATCTGTATCGGGTAAAAGTGGGGTATTTTTGAGCTCTGTTCAAATGGATTTCCCATTCAGTCCAATGGGGCAAATTATCACAGTTTTCTGCGATTTGCGTGAAGACGGCTAAGCGAATCTCTTATAAAAGACATAGCAACCCAATCCTGGTCATTCCGCACTTTTTATGTGTTTTTTGTGTCAACGCTGCCGGACGAGTAGCATGACAACATTTGTGACCTGCTCTATCGAAATCAGTCGCATTGATCCGAAGACACATTTTGAGTTGTATACACTGTTGGAAAGAGGATATTCCTAGCTTCTAATGATATCAGGATTGTTTTTGTACTCCAAATATTAAGCGAAATATGTCACATTATATAATGACTGTCACCGAGTCATCATTTTGAGAAAAAGGCCTTCAAAGTGTTCTCTTCTCTGGAATCCATCGATCTGATTGATTATTAGTGGAGCAAATGATCCAAATACTACGGAGGGAAGATATTTTCCTTTGGAGGGGAAGCTCGCGAGTGTGTGTGTATACGTGTGTGTGTGTGTGTGTGTGTGTGTGTGTGTGTGTGTGTGTGTGTGTGTGTGTGTGTTTGTGTAATTTTGCGTTTGTGTGTATTGTGTTTGTTTGCAACTCGATTTTGACAGGAAAGCTACTGGAGACTTCTAGAATTGTGTGAGTAACATTCTGTTTTTAGACTTCTCTGTTTCAGTGTGTGTACTCTGTATCAATGCTCTGTAGTTGATCTGACTGAATTGTGATTTAAATCTCAAAACCACTACAGTATCTGTCAGGCAGGAAACTTGGGAACAAGTAATTTGACTGAAACCTTAAAAGTGAACTAACTGACTGCTAGGGTTAACTTTGATTTAAACATTTGTAGAATACTAAGAGCTTTATTGAGTAGGTGTAACTGTATTAAGGGTTAAACTCATAACTTTATAACTTAGGGTTTAATGTAATTGACTTAAAAGACAATAACAAACCAGGAGGAAGCCAGTCTAGATTTCCTTTTGAGGGCCACCAGCTGCAGAGAGTTAACTAATTAAAGGGACGTTGCCCCACAGCTGTGAGAACTCAGCAATCAGGTGTCCATTTTAGGTAGCACTTTCCTGGAGCGTCAGCTCCAGCGTCAGACAGGCTAAGACTGGCAAAGACATTAGAGTCCTGCGGGAGTCAAAGACTGGCAAAGACATTAGAGTCCTGCAGGAGTCAAAGACTGGCAAAGACATTAGAGTCCTGCAGGAGTCACGAGGGAGGCAAAGAGGAGGCAAATCCTACTCTGATTGAGCTAAGTATCGCTGGTGTTTTATTTTCTTTGGTTGTTTAGCCCCTCATGCTATAATCATGTGTATTTTCTCCATTCCTGTTTATGTGTCTTCTCGCAATTATCACTGGCCCCGTGTATCTCGTAATCGATATAACCAGCCTGCTCTCGTCTATCCCACATGCTCCACTGAGATCCAACATCTAGTTTCAGGCGGCCTGTGGAACTGCCAGTCAGCTGTTCCTAAGGCTGACTTCATCTCTGGCTATGCTTCTCTGCAGTCTCTGGATTTCCTTGCTCTCACTGAGACGTGGATTACTCCATCCAACACATCCACCCCAGCAGCTCTCTCCACAGCATATTCCTTCTCCCATACACCTAGACCACAGGCAGAGGAGGTGGCACTGGTCTCCTGCTCTCTCCCAAATGGAGCTTTTCCCTCTTCAAGCTACCTAACTTCACTCCTTCCACCTTTGAATTCCATGCCGTCACAGTAACCCATCCTATACAATTAACCATTGTTGTTCTCTACCGTCCACCAGGCGCCTTGGGGGACTTCTTGGAGGAATTAGATCATCTCCTCTCACACATCCCTGAAACTGGCCCTCCCGCTGTACTTCTCGGAGACTTCAACCTCCAGACGGGGAAGATAGACGAACTAACATCTCTGTTAACCGCCTTTGCTTTCTCACTGTCTCCGTCCCCACCAACTCATAAAGCTGGCAATGTCCTTGATCTCATATTCTCAAGGAACTGCACTACTTCTAACCTCTCTGTAAACCCGCTCCACACCTCCCGATCACTTCTTCATTTTCATTCTCTCTACCCCTTTTCCAAACATAACAAACTAATCTCTTCCCATCCTGCACCTGTCCGCCGTAACCTTCGTTCCCTCTCCCCCTCTACCTTTGCCTCATCGGTGCTCTCAGCCCTCCCTTCCTCTGACTCGTTCCAACTCCTACCTCCAAACTCTGCTGCAGAAACTCTCCTCTCTACTCTCTCATCCTCTCTGGACTCTCTCTGTCCTCTCACATCTTGGCAGGCTCGTCAGTCCCCTCCTGCTCCCTGGCTAAATGATGCACTGCGTGCTAATAGAACCGTCCTTCGGGCAGCAGAGCGGAAATGGTGGAAATCCAAACACCGTGACGACCTCCTAACCTATCAGGCTCTCCTCTCCTCTTTCTCTGCTTCGATCTCTCAGGCAAAAAGCACTTTCTTTCAAGATAAGATCCAATCTTCCTATTCCAATCCCAAATAACTATTTTCCATCTTCTCCTCCCTCCTGGACCCCCCCAAAGCCCCTCCCCCCTCCTCACTTCTGTCAAGCGACTTTGTTAACCACTTTGAAAAAAGGGTTAATGATATTCGCTCTTCTTTTTCTGACTCACCGCTGAGTCACCAGACACTCCTTTCACCCACACACTGACCTCCTTTTCCCCTCTCTCTCCAAGTGAGGTTCTTACCCTCATTACCTCTGCCCGCCCTACCACCTGTCCTCTGGACCCTATCCCTTCAAACCTCCTTCAGACTATCGCTCCTGATATTCTACCATTTCTCACCCATTTCATCGACACTTCTCTAACTTCTGGTCACTTTCCAAACAGTCTCAAGGAGGCAAGAGTAAACCCTCTCCTAAAGAAACCCACTCTCAACCCATCTGATGTTATAAACTACAGGCCTGTCTCTCTCCTCCCGTTCCTGTCTAAAACACTTTGAACGCGCTGTCTTTAAACAACTCTCCTGCTATCTCCATCAGAACAACCTTCTGGATCCGCACCAGTCTGGTTTCAAGGTAGGTCACTCCACAGAAACTGCCCTCCTTGCTGTCACTGAGGAACTGCACACTGCTAAAGCAGCCTCCCTCTCCTCTGTCATCATCCTTTTGGACCTGTCTGCTGCATTCGACACGGTGAATCATCAGATCCTCCTTCGCACTCTCCTTCGCACTTGGAGTTTCAGGCTCTGCACTTTCCCTCCTCACCTCATACCTCAAAGACCGCACCTACAGGGTTACTTGGAGAGGGTCCGAGTCCGACCCATGTCAATTAACTACAGGGGTCCCTCAGGGCTCTGTTCTTGGTCCCCTCCTCTTCTCCTTGTACACAAACTCGCTCGGATCAGTCATTAGCCCGCATGGTTTTTCATACCACTGCTACGCTGACGACACCCAATTAATTCTGTCCTTTCCCCGCTCAGAGACCCAGGTCGTCGCACGCATCTCTGCTTGTCTAGCTGACATCTCTCAGTGGATGTCTGATCATCACCTCAAGCTCAACCTTGACAAGACTGAACTGCTTTTCCTTCCGGGAAAAGATTGTCCCACTCTTGACCTAACAATCAACATTGGCACCTCTGTTGTTTCCCCGACTCAGACTGCAAGGAATCTGGGTGTGA